TTCTAAAATATATTTTTTAAATTAAAAGTGAGAGAGAAAATTAAAAACATCTAGAATATATTTTTAATAAGCAGAATTCAACTCTCTCAGGAAAATATTTTAAAATAAATATCTAGTGAATAAGACCAGCGTTTAAATACTAATTTGACTGACTCCTTTTTATCTCACAAAATAAAGAGAAGCAAGAAGAACGAAAGAAAGATTTCAGCAGAAATTCCCTGAGTTCCGATAAAATTCCCTGATAATTCCCGGCTCCTCTATACGAGGAAAGTTCCAGGAGAATTGCAGGTTTTTTGGGTTTTTCCTGGACGATGAACGCTCAGCGTGAGTCGGACGGAGTAATTCGCGTGCTTATTCCGCGCGGCAAAAGAAGCGAGATGATCGGATTAGCCGACTTTTCGCAGGGATTTGGACGAAAACCAAACGAGAGAGCCCGCTCAAAGAGAGCGGCCGTGCGTTCGGAGCAACTCGTCCAGCACGCAAACTCCGCTGGAAAAACGTCGATAAGCGTCGCACGCTTCTCGCCGATCAAGTCGAGAGCGACCGGGGTCTCGTGGAACCCGCGCAGGGGATCGAGACAACGGAGGGTGGATCGAGCAGTCGATCTTTGCGGGCGGGGTCGGATCCATCGCCGACCGGGTCGATCGACGCACCGCCGCGAGAAGTCAAAGACAAGGTAAAGGTATAAATGCTGAACGTTCGTCACTTGCGCTACGAGATTCCGCTCCGGTGCAAAGCGGCCGAGAGGAGTCCAGGTTAAGACCACCGACGTGGCGCTCCATCTATCCGGGAGGTGGTGACTACCTTTCACGAGGGGTAGTCACCAGCTTTGCGAGACGCGAGATATCCGCCGATAATTATGGCTAGCGGATGTCGGACAGCTAGAGGATATTCGCTGTTGAGAAACACAGAGATGTCGGGATTTGTGATGACAGTTTCATGTATGATATTGCGGAGACATATGTCCAGTCTCGCTCCAATAGCACTGATAAAGTTATCGCGGATATAAATTTACACTTGGATAGCATAACTTCATAAGTAATAGTATGCTTGATAACTTTTAAATCATATCATATATTGTTCTCTTTGCTTCAAAAGTGACACAACCCAAAAAATTAAGTTTCTCAAAAAAAAAAAAAAGTTATTGTTCAAATATTATTGTTCAGCTTGATGGAAAATTATACTAATAATATAATATTAGCAAAAAATATATTCCCAACATAATTAAACGTCATTTTTGTCATTTTTGTTCATATCCCTTGAAAAACCACCCCTTTTTAGTCGTGACGATTTTTCATGAATTAAATTAATTTACTTTTGATGATTGATAAGATAATTAAACGTTATATCAATAAGGTTAATCTAACGTTTATTTAATTACTCATTCATAATAATAGCCCAGAACAATTATGTATTTTTAAGTTGTGTCACTTTTGAAGTAAAGGAGCAATATATAAAAAAATTTATTGTATTTAAATATGTTTAATGATATATAAGTAAATATAATGTATTAATATGTAATTAATGTAATTACATGGCATTTAATGTATTACATTTGTACATGCTGTATAATAACATATTAGCTGTTTTATCGCTGCAACTCTAAAGCCAAGTTGCATCAGTAGCGATTTCCTTACTTGGATCACGAAATTGTTGTTCCATAGCTTCTTCGAAAATTAGTGCGATGGAGGTATCGTTAAATTCCACAAAATATTAGAAGATACAAAAAAGTAGAAAATATCACACTCTAGAAAGATATAGAAAATTTTGGCTTAAAAAAATTCAAGCTTCTCTTTTATGACTGGGAGAATAAGGGATAAAAAATTCGTTTGTGTCGTGATACGGTATACGGATAACACCTGTACGCGGTCAATCTTGCTCCGGATCGATTAGCGTCAAATCCATAAGCTCATCTGTACATCCGTTATATACCGGGTAACATGAGATTGTTGCCGATCTCGATGATATCGGGGAGGAGAATGTCGAGCGCAGGTCCCCTGTAAGGCGACACAGGTACATATGGGCTCTCCCGTAGTGAATGGACCAAATGATATAAATTATTTATAGATTTCGACACCCAGACAGAGAGAGACATAGAGGCGGGCGCGGAGGGTACGCGGAATTGGGGTGAGTCTGGACCCCCTAGGGGGTCCGCTCGCGATCGAAAACCCCCGGGGGACTCCCCCGCTCTCCCCTTAACATATGCATTCTCGCTTCGAGATCACCGTAAGCCTATATAAAATTGATTTCTAAGTACCTCGTATTCGTGTCGGCCTTGTGTGTCTTTTAACACCTACATACTTGCCCTCTTCCTCCTCCTTGTTTTTCTTTTTTCATATATATAGCAAATAAGAAGAGAGTACTGCAATAACTAGCTTTATCGATCATCTTCGGCAATGTGACAGACATGATAAACCTAGTTTGTTTTATTAATAAGAAATATTTTAAATATTATTCTTGTAATGCGTAAAACATGACTATTTTGTACTATTTGCCATTCTCAACTTACTGTTTATCTTTTTCTAATTTCAGCTTTAAGCTGAGATAAAAGTGTCATACAGTCGATACTGACTAAACTAAACCATCTTAGACCCGGTTTCATCAATATAAGATTATTCCTCAGTTTAATTTATTGTTTATCTTTTTCTAATTCTGAGAATTCTGAGAATTAGAAAAAGATAAACAGTAAGATAAAGAGATTATTGTTAACTGAGATTATTGTTAATCTTACATTGGTAGAACCGGCCCTTAAGAGGACACAGAAATCTCGCTGACTGTACTACATCGAACACTTTCGAACTCGGTCTTGTAACAAATCGGAACGGGCCCGCGATCGCGCAGCTCGCCCCCCTGGGGTCCAATCTAAATCAATGGGCTTGTGGGTAATCGCATAATAATTACCATGGACCCCCTCTACCGCCCATCTGTCGCTGACCGACGGGGCGTACGACCCTCGGAAGAAGCAGGCACTCCATACACGGCGACACACCCGATGAACCCGATGTCCCAGCAGGTCCCATTGTCGACGAGCACCGTTCGGAATGTCGCGAAGTTGAGACGCCCCTCGACAGTCACCACTCT